AGTAAATTCATACACTTGTACATCATTTAGCTCCGCATGGCAAAACAGATACTATTCACGTGATTGGGAGGTGTCAGAATAGCCGTCTCTGTCTTCCTCCACACAGCAGAGCAGAAGATGGACGGCCGATAACCTGCACCTCCAGGCCGTTCAGTTGGCCTGCTGCACAGGCGCCTGCGTGTGTTCACTTACTGCATTGCTCTAAAAAACATTTTCCATTTTAGAAGTCTCCTTGACCCAGAAATCACTCTGACACGCACGCGCAGGCTGCTTTTCTGCACCCTTCCCATCAGCCATGGGAGGCATGAAGCACGAGAGAAAGAGCTTTTTACTTGATCATGTGGGTTTCAGAAACATTCTGGTGACATTTTAACGCCCGAATAAGAGAAACACACAACCGTTGAAACATCTATAATAAATGAAAGAGATTTAACTTTAATTACGGCCTCAATTCAGCTGCTAACCGGACCAGCGACAAACCACGACTCCACAATGGGATCATTTCTGCCGTATTAGCTTTGATGTTCCTTACTGCACACTCCCCAGATTACGCTGGAGGTGCTGTCCCACATTAGCCCATCCTGCCGGAGATCTGACAGGGAGCGGGAAAGCTTGCTGCGTGGATGCATTATTCATCAGCGAGCCTGATTCAAAGCGTCTTCTGCCTTCAGAGGAACTCTTTGGGAAAAATTGAGAACATTTGAGGTTCCTGTGAATTTTGTGTAATAACCGATTCAGGCTGAGAACATCTACACGCCAAAATATGGTTTCTAAACAAGAGACAAGGACGAGTGATGTCCTCTTTCCTTATGAGGAGAGCCATTTGATGACCAGAAGCTGACATTTAACCTTAATGAAAGTTGCAAAAGTTTTGTGTGATGTGTTCACAAACTTCAGGGTATTAAATTAGGGTTTATGTAATTGAGAAACATGCATACTTGAGAAGTGTTATTGATTGTTTCTATTCTTATTTATTTATTTTGTAATAACACAGGTTTCATACTTTTCAGGCATTGTCAAGGTAAGTTTATAAAAATTTCCAGTTTGAACCACACTTTGGAGATAAAAATAATGTAAAAGAACTATAAAAGACCATTTCAATTGACTACTATATGATTTTATGTTTTGTCATTAAGAATATTTTGCGATCGTATTCTACTGTCGACTGCAGGGACATGGTTAACTAAAATATAACACAATTTTACGTTTTGAAATGCCTCTGTCACGCATACATCCGATACACCCAGCTGGTCCAAGAAAGATGAAAAATAAAATCTCTAATAAACGTTCTCACAAAGTTTTTCTGGCTTTTAGCAAATAGAAATAGTTCTGCTAATTCTGGCCGAGCTAAAACGGGAGAAGTTTGGTTTGATTGAACTTCAGTTAGTAAGGAAAAATATGTTTTTTTATTATCTTTAAATATCTAGTTTCAGCTATGGAGTTTAGGCTTTTAATCAAACGTTAAGAGTCCACTTTATTACCAGACTGTGCAATTTGAATATCACGCACTTTCCAAACCTGGGAAACACCTAATTGAATTACAAGGCTTTCAAACACCTGTGCGAACCCTGAAAGTATCTGGAAAGTACAACATGCATTTGTATTGAGTCCCCCTTACTCAGATACCCCTAATAAAAATCCATTCAGAGTTCCCTAATGCGGTTAGAGGTCTATTCAGTATAAAGATTCCACTTGTTTGTGATTTTTGTACAGTTAAGTGACCTGAATGCAGAAACCGACTGAGGCAAAACTGTGAATTTCAGTGATAAATAAATACAATGGAGACTTTGAAAACGACAGAAAGAGAACAGGGAAAGGAGCAGGGAAGAGCCATAGGCAAACCATGGAAGAGCAGAGAATGAGAGATAAATACAGGATAGCTGGATTATTGGAAAGAGACGGGTGGTGGAGGGAAAAAGAACAATAGTCACAAGAGAAGCAGAAGAGGACATAAACAACAAACCAAGAAAGGGAGGCCGACACTAATCTAAGGAAACTACAGTAAATTCAAATGCACAACAACCAGAACTCAAGAATAAGTGAAGAAAATAAAGTGAAAGGAATGAACAGGTACGGCAAAACTTTCTCACCATTATTAATGAACTGAACATGGCAAGATATGTTGAGCAATAAAGCATACAGGAACTAATAAAGTAAATAAACAAGAAATGGACAAAAACACCCGGACAAGCAATTGTCTGGGTGTTTTTTTTTTTTTTTTTTTGCTTCAGCTGGTAGAGGAAAGCTGGTCAATATCCAGACCTAGATCCCAAATTTAAAGTAGCAGGTCAGGCATGCTAACTGTCCACTGAGCTTGAGCTGAACTGTAAATACTAAATGACCACATTTCAGTCTCTAGGTGAGCATTGGTTAAAAAATAAATTCTAATTAACACCCTGCTGTAATCACAGAGGAAGCTGATCCAACAAAGTGCTGATTCGGGCCTTTGAATTCAAATTCAAAGCTGCTTGACTTTTGGTGAAAAACATTTTTCGAACTCACGTATCCCTTTTCTTCCACTTAAAGATAGACTGTGGGATCTGAAGGCAGTTGCTCTTTGGAGTGGAGAAGGCTTAATACCAATGTACAGCTTACTTTTCAGAGTTTTCCTCCTTTTACTGCTTTCTTGCACTGTATGTTGGTCTGTTGCAACAAATCAATACAAACCAAATGAAAACAAAACTGCAGAGGTTTGTGGTGACAAAAATGTGAAAAAGCAGGGAATGCGTTCACAAGGCGCTGTGATCGAAATGGAACTGGAAGATGGAAAATCTATCTGCAAAAAACAGTCAATAGTTGTCAAATAAAAGCCACAAAATAAAATAAATAAATAAATAAAAGTACATCTTAAAACAGCATCGGTTGTCTTTTATAAAGATATCAAAAGTTTATGTATAACTCGTGATAATACCAGAATTACCTGCACATTCTATAAGGAACAAAAACATGCTTTGACAGAGCCATTAAGTGCAGTTTATTGTCCTATTTGGTACCATCAATAAGGAGCTAATCTGAGTTTTACAGCCTATTTTTACAGAACAACAGCTGAGGATAAAAGCAACTTCAGCTTGTTAGTGTTCATCTTCTGTCCTAAAAAAAAAAAAACAACACATGAAGCTGGAAGCCCCTTGGGAAAACATTCCCTAACGAACCTGCCAATTAGGAGGAACTCTCCCGCCACTCCGAGGCGCCTCATCGCCATGAGCAGCCCGCGGACCGTCATGCCTTCACAGAAGCAGACAACAACCCTGGCTTTGGGAAGGCGCTCCCGCAGCTTCCTGAGGAGCCGGTCGAAGTGCTTCTCGCCGGCGTTGCTGTAGATCTTGTCGGAATGAGCGATGCAGAGCCCTTCCTGCGAGGCGAGCTCTTTGAACGCTTCCATCCCGCTCTCGCCGTAGTTACCTGAGGAAGACAAGAGAAGCCGTCAGCCGAGGCTCATCCGCAGGGGAACAGGCGCGATCAATGGGCTGTCGTTCGCAACTTTTCTCGACGCCGTGGTTTTCCAGATTCACTGAAGTGTTACTGAACATAAATTTCTTCTTCTTGTTTTTTTTTTTTCTTTTGGCACAGAAGAGAAAAACAAATCCAGAGGATGCTGTAAGAGAAGTTAAAAGACTTGCATCTTGTTTCCACTTGCCTGCTCGGATCTTAAAAATCAATCAGTTGTGGCAGAACGCATTAAAAAGTGCTCACTGCAGGCTTTGATCTGTTTGCCAAACAAATTTTAATCACCTCAAAGAAAGCTTATCATGTTTTAACAGGATTATCAAATCCTCTTCCTACATTCATCATATTCTGTCATGAGAGAAAACAAAAAACGAAGCAGGCATGAAATTTGACTCCAAATCATGTGAGGGATTTTGATATTCTTATAATTGTCATAAGGTGTTTTTACATATTTTGTGACTTTTAAATGAGCAAATTTCAATTTGCCTTGTTTGGGATGTATTTAGCTCCAGCTATTTTGGAAATACCTCCAGCCTGCTTCTCTGTCCCTGCTGAAGAAATAAACCCCGTCATGATAATGCCTGAGCCACCATTTGTAACCATGGGGACAGTGCAGCGGACATAATAGTTTGGTCTCATCTGACCGAAGTCTCTTCTCCCACACGCTTTCCAGGTCACCCGCGCGTCTCGAGAAAACGTTTAGATTCGTCTTCTTATGGCTTTCACCCAACAATGTCTTTCTTAGTCATTCGATTTGTGGCGAAAAGTTCAGTTCAGATTCCTCCACCTGAGTCGTTGATCCGTATGGCTCCTCCAGACTTACACAACCTCCCGACTGTTGATTAGAGATGTGAATCTTTCAGTACCGACCGATTCAGTTCCAGTTCGATTCGGAAACAATCGGTCTGCAGATTCTGTTTAAATTGTGTGACTAGCAAGAGGAAAAGGCAGTGGGGGACACAGGGGAGATTACATCTCTGTGTCATCAGCTCATATTTAAACAAAATTGGTTTGTGCATAAGCTTAGATGCCTGGCTAATGCGATACACAGTGAAGTTGCAAAGATGTACAACTTAAACACATCTAAAAATCGATTTAGCATTTTGATTCAATTCAGAATTACCAGGACTAGAAATTGCAGTTCTCTATAGAACTGATTTATTTTTGTCTGCACCTCTTCTACTGATCCCCTGGCGCACTTACAGGAATGCCTGTACGTTGAGGAGAAAAACACAACAACTTTGTGTTGGTTTGTCAAATAAAATGCCAACAAATCGCATCAAGGTTTTGGTTTTAACATGAGAAAATGTTCAACTGAAATATAAATACTTATACAAAACACAGCTTCAACTCAATATCTATATTTGTGTTGCTGTATAGGTGAGTACATCGTAACCTTCATTATAATGGCTTGACTGCAGGTAATAGAAAGGTTGGAAAATGTGTTTCACAGATATGTTAGTTTTGTTTCATTCAAATGTAGGACTTGGTATTGTGAACAGAAATGTTACAAATGCAAATTACACTTCTGAATAAATAATGTAACTGCTTTTATAAAGAAACCCAGGATCAGTTATGGAAAGAGGCTTGATTTGACCTCCACAGACCTCAAATGATCAGTGCTCCTGATAAGCCAGGAAACTCACAAAACTGAATGCCCAATGAGCACAGATCATAATCGTGGCTAAAATATCTATTTGTCCAAAAGCTGGATGCTTTGCCCAATTGAGTGACACGACATACAGCGGGACGATCAACAGTTTAACCTTTTGAAAAATATACCAATACTTGGATTGGATGCACCGTTTCTACTGTTTCTCATTCAGCGTTCTGTGCCAGGAACAGGTGAGAGGTGGAGGAGGCTTCGAACAGTGCATCAGTCAGTTCCAGGGATCACAACAACACCTGCAGTCACTTTCAGAAGTATCAATACCTCATAAACATTGATTTGGCCAAACAAGAATGGCCAAATCAAAGAACAATCGTAACAACAATGAAAGGTCATTCTGCAAAGTCGCAGTCCAGGTGGAGTGAGCATGAATGCATACTAGAAGTTTCAGGTTTTAATCTGTCCAAAAAACTTTATTTGCACTTCAGAATTAAATGTTAATGATCACATGAAAGCCCAGTGAGACACAATATGTTTTTTTGTTTTGTTTATCAGGGTATCAAGAGAAAACCCAGCTGGTTTGATTCTTGACCCAGTGGATCAGATTTTTTTTTTTTTGTCCGAAAGATTGCATTACCATATATTGAAGAAAGTTTACAGTCACTCCGAAACTATAAAAAACGAGAAGCACAGCATTCGTTGAAACCATAAAAGGAATATAAAATATATGACCAACATATTAAATAATTTTGAAAATCACGCATCATTTCCCTTACATGTCCCACTTCTTTGCTACTTTGTTTGTCATTTTTGGATGTAATGTGACAAAATACCATTAGGTTCCAATAAAAGTATCACTTAACATCTACAAAGAAGGATGATGTCTTACCCTCTGTGTGTACTGCTGACACATAGGTCCAATTGTACTGTTTGACAATGTCCAACAGGGCTCTGGCTTGCAGAGTGTCCGAGGGCACAACTCTGAGGAAGTACTTGAACAACGTCTTATCACTGAGGTCAATGCTTGTTGCAGAATAGGCAATCTGCGGGATGTTGAACAGCTGCAGAAGGTTCTGGACTTGAATTGCAACCGAGCTTGAGCCGGGACCGATGACTCCTGCGATGGGCTTCTTGGTCGGAGGCGGCTGGCTGGAGGGTGACCCTTCAATGCACCACTTGGAGCCCTCTGTATCGTCTCGGATGGAGATGAGAGAGTCCCGTATGAACTCAATGCTCTGCTCCAGGGCCACAGAGGAATGCCAGCATGAGTCCCTGATCTCACAGCCGAGGGTGATGTTGGGCAGCAGGTTGGGGTCCGAGTTTATTCGATCCAGGGTGTGGAACATGGCCTCCACTCTCTGGATGCCATACTGCTCACGGACTTCTCCGCATTTCCTCTCAGCAACCTTCTCCGCTGATGGCTGGTGGTGTACAGAAAACAGGGCGCCTATTATTACATCCCCATCCATTCGAGCCACCAGGCGGGAGGCAGAGCTTGGGACAACTGACCTCTCATACTTGCCTTTGGACAAGACGAATGCCTCAAAGAGTAAAATGGGCAAGTACAAAATGCTTACTACAGTCAGGTAAATCATGCTTGTCATTGTACAACAAGTGATGGGTGTATGATCATCTCCTTTGGGCCATAGTAGAGGTCCATTAATCCCGCGTGGATCCAATGGGAACTTCACGGGATCCTCTCCAGTGCCTGTAACCTGCAATTGATACAAAGACACTTAAAGCTACTGTTTTTCTTTCAAATACAATGTCTGCTGGAGACACTGGAGTGGTCAAGATGACATTCAGTTTCCTGCCAGAGGGAAATCTTTTTCAGTTTCAGCACCTTGGACAGCTGCCTCTGCTGCGTGAGGAAATCGGTTGTTTTAATCTCTTTTCAACTTTTACCTAAAAGCATCGCATGCAAAGCCAATATGATGCGATTGCGACATCTGCTATTCAACAGGGCAATAGTTGACTACACTACGCGACAATACAGCTTGCATTCGCACGCATGTCGATCAGAAATAGCTGCATATTCAAGCCGTGTTAGGAAGCCTGCTGTCGTGCAAGCAAACGGGAGTTTATTTACCTGCGACAGGCAGCTCCGGGTATGCGGGCTCTGTGTCTCCTGTGATGCAGCCAGACTGAACCCCAGCTTCTCCTTACCAAGAGACTCCCTCCCTCCCTCTCGGTCTCTCTCTCTCTTTCCCATCTGCACTGATGCCCCCTTCTTCTCCTCTTTCCTCACTGCATCTTAAAAGCGGGTCATAGTCGCTGCAGTGTCCCTGATTTGAGTGCAGAGTTTGTAAACGCCGGGGCGGGACGGTGACGCATTTACAAATCGGATTTTGGGGGGCGAAGTACAGTGGGACTGACGTGAGAAGAAAAAAATGTGTCCCGGGGAACAGAAGTGTTAACTTTTAGAGCTGACGTGACAGCGCGAAACACCCTGCGATACAGGAGGACACGCCAAATAGGAACTAACTCCGTAGGGACGAATCAAACTCCGTGGACAGGAAAACGCTCCTGTTTCGTTTGGTCACTGACAGATGCGGTGCACGTGCGGTTTACCTCTGCAGCTGAAAATAAGGGGGGCTGCTCTCTTGTGACACCATGTGGTCATTGTTTGGTACGACAACCTTTATGTCAAATTCAAGTTTAAACTCAATTTAGATTATCCCAATGAATGATAGGAATAATTCATTCAATACATTTGAACTATATATTTAATTATAGTTAAATAATTAGCCATATTAATTTATTGTATTCGCTTTACATTCTGACATGGGGAAACTGATGATTTATACTCATCAGTCATGAAATACAAAAGTGAACTATGACATGTTGTAATTGCTGTTTAAAACTCGACTACATAAGGAGATCAAATTAAAATTAATTATTGTGGTGTTTATTTGAACAATGCTTGTGGTGCATTCGAACATGGATAGTTAAAAAAATTACTTCAGCATTTAACTACGAATTTAATAAATCAATAGATGTGATACAACAAATATTAACCAATTACTTTTGTTTTATTTGTGATATGAATATAAATTGTCTTACGACTTCAAAGGCGTCACTGTCTAATGAACAAGTCAACAGTTAGACGAATTTACATGATGAAACATAAATATTTTTTTGACAATACAGTAGTGTTCATACTTGTACCCTTTTACCCACAATACACATTGTATCAGAATCAGCTAAAAATAAAAACAACAACAAAAAAAGTTTTCAATCGAATAACTTGAAAATGTTGTATTTGAGATTTTGGTATTTTTATGACTATGTTCAAAATGTAGATATCTGCTAAATTTGACCTAAGCTTCATGAAAGTAAACATCTAGTTTTTTTATTATTTATTTTCAGTGTGGCTTTAACGCAGAGCGAAGAAGTTAAAATCTGAAAATTCTCTGTCCTCAGACGGCAAAAGACAAATAAAACAATAACAACAATAATAATAAAAAAAAGACTTCACTTAAATTGATCAGAAAAGATATTGTGAGGGCCTTTACTTTCCAAAAAGAACATGCTTCCTCGTCTTCGACGTCACTTCCTGTATTTAAAAATGGCGGACACGGACGTCGCTGTGGATAATTGTTGAACTGTGGTTTTGCTCGTTAAAGAGGAGCTTCTACATCATGGAGCGACTTTTGTTACAGTCGCAGTGAGCGGAGCAACTTGAGGAAGGCTAAGAAGGTAAATGTTGATTTTTAATATAATTTGCTGGTATATGTCAAGCGATAAATCTACATTGTCAGGTGAAAGTGCTCTCTCTGTTGCGCTGTTTATATTAGCAGCAAGGTTTCTGTATTTCAGATCCTGAAACAGTGCCCTGTGCAGGGGATAAATAAACTAGTTGCTGGTTAGCAGTAGCCTTTAGCCTAAAATTAGAAGCAGTGTTGATTTACGTCCGTGTTTCACCTGATGTAATGGAGCCTAGTATGTTACATGGGTTTTGTAATGATACAAATGCTCTTAACTGACAAGTCGAAGTAGCAAAATGACGAGCGCATCATGGTTAAAAGTGTTGCTCCTAAACCTTTGGAGAAGCTAAAGGGCTACCAGCTTTTCTAAAGGATTTGCTCTTGCTTTGTGCAAGACCAAAATGCTAAAGTTGCTCCTGCATAAAACGTAGGAGACATTGTTGTGCAACGTCTTCCAATCATGTTAAAAAAAATCTAAAATATGAAGACACATTTACAGAGTGAGGTTCAATTCCAGCTTCTTGGCTCTCTCACTTTGTAGCTCTACAGATTTAATTTAGGTTATATTCCACTGAGAAAGAAGACACTAGTTTCCAGTTCATCTTTACTCTTTTATTCTAATTTAATGTATGTCCCTTTTATGCCTATAAATAAACAGAATAAATGTTTGACACTTTATCTTGCTTTGCTTAGTTGTGTAGCCCCTATTTTTGATGTGGTATAAGATAATAAGTAATTCCTTATAAATATTGGTCTCTGTTAAGGTCTTTACAATGAGCAGTCGAAGGAAGAGGGCCCCTCCTGTGAGGGTGGATGAAGAATCAAAGAGGAGGCTGGAATGGAACATGCTGGAGGACCGGAAGAACGAAGCCGTCCAGGAAGACGACCAGACTCCGTCCTCCTCTTCCTGTCTATCAGGCGACCCTACCGCCTGCACTTCTTTTCTCTCCTCTGTAGAAGACATCACCCAGGAGGACGCGTGCTCTCGTTCGGTTCAGTTGTCAGACAAACTTCCCAGCACGTCTTTGGACAGCGGCGCCCCCTCCGCCTCTCTGGCGCTCTCTGTGGTGCCGGCTTTAAAGCTTGGCCATGTCTGGAAGGCTCTTATCGGGGAGTTCAGCATCAGGCCGGCTTGGCTGCCGTCTGACTATGAGCAGAGATCTTTTCTGGCGTACCGGACGGGCAAGCAGCTCTACCTCAGTTACAGCAGCTGCGATGAGAACTCGGAGCCGCGGTGGAGCCCTGAGGAGGACGGCTGTGCCGTGGAGTGCAGCCTCAGCAGGATCCCATTCGAGGACCTCGACTGGCTGCAGAAGAGGAGGGTGGTGCAACTCTGCCACCAGACCAAGGAGCAGGAAGTTAAGGTGCAAGTCATGATATCGTCTAAACTTTTCCACATTTTGACACGTTACAACAACAAACTTTGTTGTTGTATCGTATGAAATTTATTTGTATAATGTGTTTCACTCACTGAATTTAGTTCCTGAAAGTTTAACTTTTTAATTTTATTTTTTATTTATCGAACATGACTGTATGGGTTATAGTCTGCACAAAGTAATGTAAATAATATGATATAATTGGTGATTAATTACAAATTTGTTTCTCGGCTGCTTTAGAGCTAATTTAAGACGTAATAATATTGTTTCCCTCATGCTACATGAAAGCTGAGTGTTGTCTTTGTGTGACAGGTGGGAATTTACCTGCTGGAAACTGGTCTGGGGAAGCCAGAGTTCCTCAGCGAGGGAAACGCTCGGCCGAAGAAAGCGACTCAGATAATGCAGAAGTTGATGGAATATTTTTACGATTTCATCATTCCTGGTACGTGTTTGGGCCCAGTTCGTGACATTAGCCTCTAAATAAACCCTATGCTCTCCCAGAACTGTCTCTTAAGCGTTTCCTCTTCTTCTTATTTTGATGCAGAAGTCGTAGAGAACGAGGAGGAGGAGTGCGACACTGATCTGGAGAGACAGAACGTGGAGGAGCTCTACGATTACGTGAGGCACCAGCACCAGAAGGAGAACCAGGATGCAACATACGACGTCCAGCACAAGGTTCTGATTCCCGTCCTCAGGCCCTATCAGAGCCAGGCCGTCAACTGGATGCTGAGGAGAGAGAAGTACAACATTAACGCACCGAAAGGTACATATGATGATGATGATGGTGAAAGGTTTGCACGTAGATTTCAGGGAAACATGGGAATTCAGATGATTACTTGAGACTATATCAAGAAAGAAAAAGATGCTTCGAGTGTTTGTAGAAAAACCAGAGATGATGCTAGCTTTATATATTGAAGATTGTGATGTATTTTCCTTTTTTTTTTTGTAGAACATTCCCTGCATTTTCTGTGGCGAGAGGTTGTGACTTTATGTGGCAAGAAGTTGTTCTATAATCCCTTTACCGGCTGGTAAGAAGAAACACTTTTTTTGAAAAACGTGTAATCAATAACGAGCAATAATACATCTATTTATATTCCTCGTCTTAGGTTGTATTTTAGTGCTTTCTCTTTGAAGATTTTTTTGTCATAGCGCTACCGCTGAAATTCTGCTGAAGTTGCTCTGCCATTTTTTCTCCCCCCAATTAAACTCACACTGCAGCCTTAACCAGAGACTTCCCTTGGAAATAAAGTGAAGTGCGTGCACTTGTTTTTGGATAAATGTAACGCTACCCACCAGTAGGTGGTGCTATAGCTCAACACAAATTTTACAGTTTGGATATCATGGTGAGGAGGATTTTACTTCTCAATGAAGCTTTCAAATCTGTTCCCACAAAATAAAAATAGAACTTTGAATGCATAAAATCGTCAGATGATTCTGCATGTGATGTGCAAAGCCACGCCCTTATGTCCCCCAAAAAGATTTTTGTCACATTTTTGCAAGGACATTTCAAAGTGTTCTAAGCTCACTGGTCCAGAAATGTGCATATCTTACCAAGAAACGAAGCCGAATGCCGTAGGTAGGACAATTTTTTGAAAAATAAACAAGATGGGTGTTTTTACAGCTCCTAGATATTTCGACTTTGAATTCAGGCCAATTCATAAAAGGAATTACTGAAATAAAAGCCAGTTTTTTTAAAACATATTGCATTAGTGCCTGCAGTTTTATCTGTTTTTTTTCCCATTCTGAAACGCATGTTTAGTTTTATTTCTGTTTCCTGTTATTTTAGCTTAATTCGAGAATTCCCGCTGGCCGGAATCGAGTGGCCTGGTGGGATCCTGGCCGATGAGATGGGGCTCGGGAAAACGGTGGAGGTTTTGGCGCTTATTCTCTTCCATACTCGTCAGAATCTGGAGCAGGAAGCCCTCACGCTGCCAGTGGTGTGAATTTCTTGCACAGTATTATCTTTTTGAACTAGACGTTTGAAAAACTGCAACTTTTTTATAGCTTGTTACCTTCTGCTCACTGCAGGGAAAATCTGTGAATTACTTTGTTCCTCCTCGTCCAATAGAAGTGAAAGCTACTCGCTGCAAGCCTGAAGCTCAGCCAAAAATAAAAACATCACACCCAGGTGCGACACCCACATCTGTCTCTTGACACCATCTGTATGTTCAAAGTTGATCTTGCATTTATTGAAGAGATTTTTGGGGGGTGGGGT